TGCTTCTGGCCATATTAGAGACCTGGGCAGAGGAGAGGAGAGAGTATTGATTAAAGACACCTCGCTTTGGTAGAAGGTGCAGGCATTGGCGCAGGACCTCCACAGGCGTGGTGGGCCTTGCTTCTGAACACTGGCGCCATCCAGGAGGGAGGGGCCCAGCTGATTATGGGGTGACTTTTCCTCTCTGGTCCCCCCTACCGCCTCGGTCACGGGGGTCTCGGGCCCTTGGCTCTGGGTGTGTTGCTGTAGCAGCTCCTTTTTCTGGGGGGAGTGGGGGAGGGTCTCCGGGGGCGGGGGACAGACAGCAGCCTGTGATGCAGCTGAGACATCCAGGAGGCCCCCTGAGCTTGTGTGTCTGTGTGTGTGTGCACGCGCATATGTGTGCATGTCAGGTCAGTCGAGCAGGAAGGGAGCCCACCCCAGCCCTCATCCATCCCTGGCCTCCACATTGTGGAGCCTGTTCCCAGCTGTTAGGATAATGGATTTACATGAGCTGATAATGTAGACAAGAACCCAGTGGATGGCCAGGAGCGCAGAAATTAATGAATACCTCTCTAATGAGGGGGGGTGCACCCCTGCTCTAAGGGGCTTCTCCAGGGTGCCGGGGCCACCTGAGGCCCCCCTCTCCCTTCCCCTTGCCACCGTGGCTTCCACGGTCAGGGTGGTGCCTTCCTGGGCAGGGCTGGGGGGCAGAGCCATCCTGAAGTGACCCCGAGGCTGCAAGTGGGGGCAAGGCCCAGAGATGGGGACTGTGCTCCCCCATCGACCTCCAGCAAATTCATGGTGACCCTTCGCAGGGTCTCGGGTTCCCCCACGTTTGGCCTTTGCCCTTGGTGTAAGGGGGCTGTCAACCTGGTGGCCGGTGGTCCCCGGGCCCCCTGCCTCCCCTCCCTGCCCCTCCCAGCGCACACAAGCTGAGGAGGAAAGCTAATTTTAGACTGCCCTAAGGAAGCTGCTCATTTGGAATCCTATTTTAAGTGGCCTGACATCAGCAGAGCGGCTTTCCTGGCTGCGGGATGCTCCAGAGCCTGCAGTGACCACAGCAGGGACACTCGCTTTGGGGGACCCCCAGGAGTCCCGGGGGGCTGTCCATAAGGTGCTACAGGGGTGGGGTGTCGCTAGGTGCCAGGAGGAGTGAGGCGCTGACAGGGGCAGCTCTTATGGGAAGGGGGCAGGGGGTGCACCTGCCTCCCAGGACCCTGGTCACCAGGGAAAGGCTGGGGCTGTCAGTGTTGGGGTTCTGGCAGGGGCGCCCCAGTTCCCTCAGCTCCCATGTCTGGCCAGCAAGAGGCTCTGGGCTGGGGGATCCCCCTCCAGGGGTTATTCCAAACTCAGGCAGCCAAGTCTCTCTTTGAGGGCACCCCATTTTTAAAAAACCTGGTTTACTCCAGAAAAGCTAGAACACAGGCAAGGCAGTTCTGTGTTAAAAACACAGACTGGTTTTAACGTAGGGCTAAAATGGTAAAGTTGTTCCTCTTGGTGACAGCCAAAGCCTTCCGCCCAGGGCCTTATGGGGTGCGTGATGTTTCTGGGGTCTGACCCCAGGTTTGCCTACTGGCTGCTCCCAGGCGGCTCTGTACCATCCTGCCCAGCGCTGGCAGCTGGTGGTCACCAGCTGGCCAGTCTGTCACGCGGCCGCTGGGCGGTGCCCTCACACCGGCCCCCTGGGCTGAGGGCACAGGTCCCTGGGAGGCAGGGGACCTCCGCGCCCGCCTCACGTCCCCAGAGCGGGGCTGGACCTGGGCCCCGACCAGCTTCCTGTGCGCGGGACACGGGTGCTGTGTTCAGGTCATCCCAGCCCTGCTGGTGACGTCCTGTCGGCCCTTGGGCCCAAGCCTGGACTCTCCCATCTGTAAAGTGGGCACAATAACGTGTCTAAGAGGCTGTAGGGTTTAAAGGGTGGTGGCCAGTTCTCTAAGGAATCCTGGGAAAGGGGAAAGGAGGTGGTTAATGGCCGTGAATGGCACCAGAGGGTTCTGTTCTGGAGACTCTGGGTGAAGAAGACACAGCGTGTCTGCAGATGGTTGAATGGCACGAAGAAAGGGGGAGGGACACTGAGCGACCTGGTCAGTGGAGGGTGTGGGGGCCCTCCCTGCGCCAGTTAGCTAGCTAACGCTGCGTGACAAACCATCCCGAACACAGGCACGTCGGGCGCCGGGAGTGGATGTGCTGGCTAGCTCTGGCCCAGCGCCCCTGGTGTAATGAACCTGGCGCCCGGCTGCGGTCCCATCAGAAGGCTCCCTGGGGCTGGAGGAGCCGCTGCCTCACGTGGCTGTGGTCTGGAGGCCCCTGTTCCTGGGACGTGGGATTCCCGCGCAGGCGCCTGGGCCGTCCTCACAGCCTGACAGCGGACCCCTTGCGGCCCCTGTGCTCCAGGGAGTGCGGGGGCGTGGCTGAGCTCTTTGACAACCTCACTTCAGCAGTAGCCACTCTTCTGCTGTTTCCTGTTCCCTATGAGTCGAGAGTCTGGCCCACGTGCGAGGAGAGGGTTCGTCCCCGGCCGTACCGGGAATGAGGGACAGACTTGGACCCACTTCCGAACCACCGCAGCCAAGTGACCTTGAGCTCTGAGCACATCTGTGCCTTTTGGTCCCCCATAGCAGTTCGGCCTTGGACCAGGCTGGTGGGGTCATGGGAGGGCATCCTGCCCTTCCGCCCCTGCGCCCCAGTTCTTCCTGGGGTGTACGCTGCCTCTGGGCCCAGGAGATGGGGTTCGAGTCCTGATGTGCTGCTGAGATGTGTGGCCCTGGGTGAGGACCCCGCAAACTGCCCAGGCTGGGAGCCCGGCAAGGGTGGTGCTCCATCATATGCCATCCCCCCCCAAAAAAAAAACCCATCGGCCTACCGAGTGTGGGTGCTGAGGGCACTTTGGGCCAGAGCAGGACCCGACAGACTTCTGGACCACCCCGGTCGGGTCCTGTGTGGGATCCATCCCTGGGCCTCCCTGCGGGCAGCAGGACGAGAGCCCCGGGCCCCTCTGTCCCCAGCGTCCTCCATGTTCGCTTTCAGCACCCGGTGCCGCTCAGGGGTGGGCAGAGCTGGTCTGTGGGTGCCCGGCCAGGAAGGGACGGTGGTAGGGAGGGCTTTCGGGGGCGATGGCAGCACAGATCGGGCAGCCCGAGTCCAGTGTGCCCAGACTGACCTGCGCGGCCTTGGCCTAGCCCCTGCCCATCCAGGCCTGGGCTTCTGCCCCGTCCACTGACCGTTAGAGTGACAACACCCAGCAGGGGTCCCTGGGATGTGCTGGGCCTGCTGTGACTCGCCTCCTGTCACCCTTGCAGAGTTAACTTCATGAAGCAGACTTTGTCTTCATCCTCAGGTTACAGATGAAACTGAGGCCTAGAGAGGCAAGGGGACTTGTCCAGGGTCACACAGCTGGAGGCCCCGGAGCTGGGGTCCAGGCCCCCCCCCGTGTGTGGCCACGTAGGCCGTGCTAAGCCTGACCTCCAGGCGCCCCCTTCCTCCTTCCTCCAAGGCTGGTCCGCACAGTCCTGTTCCCTCATTCCAGAGAGGAGGGGTTGGGGAGGACTGGGTGCTGGGGCAGGCCTCCTGCTCAACTGCCCTAGCGGCTGGCTGAGTGCCGGGGTGGCCGGGAGAGCGCTCTTGTCCAGAGCCTGTGGGGCAGGGACCCTGTCCCCCCACCCCCCAGGCTCCTCTGCTTGACTGCAGGGCCTGTGGAGTCGCCTGTGCCCTGCCCTCTCCCCCGCTCCTCCAGAGAGGAGGACGCACAGAGTCAGGGCCCTGTCACCCACCGGCAGCTGGGAGGCTGCGCTGCTGGCCGCAGGCGCTGGAGCTCTTGTGGGGTCCTTTGTCCCCAAGGTGTGAGACATCTCCCGAGAGATGGGCCACCCCCCCACAGTCATGGCTGTTTACCCTCTGCACCCCCGAGATCTCTTTGCCCCCCCACCTTGCAAGGGGGGCGATGGGGGCCACAGCCCAGCTCTCCAGGACTCGGGGTGCAGACTGTGTGTCGTCGGGGCCTCAGCCTCACCTGGCTGCCCACAGAGGGGCGGGGGCCCCGGGGGAGGCACACGTGCCCACCACGCTGTCCTCGTGGCCGCCCTCTGGCAGCGTCCTCCCGGGCTCCCCAGGTGAGCGCCGTTCCCCGGAGCGATCCTCCCAGCTCTCTGCGCCTCCCCCTGCACTCAGCGCGTGGCCTGCCGCCTGTGAGGCCGTGGGCCTTGTTTGCACCCCTCGAAGGTACCTGCAGGTTGGGAGCAGGAATGGGCAGGTGCCCCCAAGGGGTCAGGAGATGCTCGCGCCCACCAGCCAGTGAGGAGCGTGGCCTTTGTTGATGGGTCTCACGGGGCCTGCAGGAGAGCGAGCCCCCCGGGGGTGGGGAAGGCTTGCGGGGTCCCCCTCGGTCAGCTCCTTGGTCAGCGTGGCCGAGCCTGGACCCCCCCTGCCCCGGGGGGAGCCGTGTAGACCTGCTGCTGTGCGTCTTCAGTGTCTCGGGGGGGGGGGGCTCTGCGCCCAGCCGACCGCCGCGGGGGCCTCGGCTGGCTGTGTCCTCTGCCCACTTCTCACCTCCAGGGAGCCTTCTCGGTGCAGACCCGCTTTGTCCCCCGGGGCCTTTGGGGTTCAAGGGGCGACGGCAGCCGCACATGAGGGCCCAATCGACCCGCAAGGGACGGTCCCGGGTCCCCGCAGCCTGCCTGAGCGCGAGCCTGTCTCCTCCTCTGGGAGGAGGGAGGTGTGCGCCATCGTCCGTCTGGGGGACGTGCTGGAGGCCCTGCCTGTCCTCCGGGGGGTCCCCGCTCTGACCCTCTTCTTTCCATTGGCCTTTCTCTCTTTCTTGCAAGAATACCGGCCCAGGATCCTGGGCCCCGTGGTTCTCTGGTTGTGGAGCGGAGAGGGATGCCGGGCCGGCGGCCCCCCTCGCTCTGCAGTGCTGGCTCTGCCCCGCTTCGCCCGCCCCGCCCCGCATGCCCGGCCGGCGCCCGCTCTGGTGCTGGGCCCTCTGCTCGCAGGTGACTCTGGTTCTTCTCTTCCTGTTTCAGGCATGAGCCATGAGCCCAAGTCCCCTTCGCTAGGGATGCTCTCCACCGCGACCAGGACCACTGCCACCGTCAGCCCCCTCACCCCCTCGCCGCTCAATGGCGCCCTGGTGCCCAGCGGCAGCCCCGCCTCCAGCAGCGCGCTGTCGGCCCAGGCTGCACCTTCCTCCAGCTTCGCCGCCGCCCTGCGCAAGCTCGCCAAACAGGCGGAGGAGCCCAGAGGTAAGAGGCGCGCCCGCCCCGGGCAGCCGGCCGAGGGCGCGGGGAGCGCGGTACCCACCCCCCGTCCCCAGGGCTCTGGGCGCAGGGCTGTCCGTCTGTCCGTCTGCCCGCGGGCTTGCACACTGAGCGCTCTGGCCGATCTTCCTCCTGCTGCTGCTTTGCGGCAGGGACGTGCTTTCGGACCCCTGCCTGGCTGCTGAGCCCTGCTCTCTGTGCTGTCTGCTGCCTTTCTTTGCTCCAGGAGCCGCCGAGGGGGCCCTCTGCTGATAGCAGTGGGCATGGGGGGTGGTTTGCAGGTGTGATACCTCTTTTAGAGCCCCCGGCCTGCTCCGGGGCCTCTTCCCAGGAGGCGTGTGTCCCGGCATGTTCCTGAGTTGGGGGCACAGCTCACCCACCACTGCTATCCTCCTGGCCCCCAGGCAGGGGTCTTGTGGCATGGACAGGTGTCCCCCAGCTGTCTGGAGCCCTGGCTCCTCCTGTCACTGGGGCAGCGATGTGCTGTGTGGCTTTTGGCAAACGCTGGTCCTCTCTGAGCATCAGCCTTCTCATGCGTACAACTCTGGCTCCAGGCCCTTCCAGGGTGACTGTCAAGGCTGTGTTAGTTCGGGTCAGAGGCCACCGGCTGCACGAGTGGGTGGTGGGCAGTTTGCACCAGAGCTGCCAGGAGGCCTGGGCCGCTACGGATTCCAGTGTGGGCCTCTCAGATACCCTTTAGCTGCCCTGCTTGGGGGGCAGGGGGTTCGACCTCCCGGGTAGAGGAAGCAGGGACTCTGGCTGCCTCTGCCTGCCATCTGCCTCTCCCCGAATGTCCAGGGCTTGTTGCGTGCTCCAGGGCCCTCTGGGCACGTCTATCTGTATCGACTCTGGGGTCTCCAGCACAGCAGAGCGGACGCTTGCTATGGCGGGGGTGCGGCGGGCGTCTGCTGATGTCTGACTCCAACTTGTCCGCACCCCTTTTCTGCTCACGTGGCTGGGCAGAGGAGGGAGCGGGGTAGACCAGAATCCCGGGGCAGGTGGCTTTGGGCCCAGGAGCCAAGGCCGTTGGGCCTGGTTTCTGCTTTGCCAGGGGGTCGCCTCACGGCTGGTGTCCACCCCGGGGAGGAGCGGGCACAGTGGCTCCAGCCCTGACCTGGGGTCTCTTCTGAGTGGACGAGGAGGCCCCCTGGGCAGAGTTTGCCCAGTAGCTCCCTGCTCTGGTGTCATCCTCCGTCATGTTCCGGGGGGCAGAGAGACGGGGCCGGCACGGTGTCCACGGACAGCTGTCTGCAGGTCAGGAACACCAGGTCCCTCTGGCTGAGTCACCCCTGACCCGGGTGTCAGGGCTTAAGCCAACATCCATGTCCACGCCTGGGCAGCTGGGCCCGTCCTGGGGTAACACCCCCCACCCCGCCGTCTGCAGAGGACAAGGCTCCCGTAGGGGCCCCGGGTGCGGGGCGAGCCTGGCCTCGGTGGCCTTTGTCTCCTCTCTTCTGGCCCCAACGTCCAGCTCGGATGGCGGGCCAGTGGGCAGCCCACGTGCCAGAGGCTGTCAGGCCTCACTGGCTGGGAACACTGTGCTGCGGGGGGCCCGCTCCCCTCGGCTGCGGTCCAGGTGTTCCCATGATGCCCTGGGAACGGTGCCCGAGGACTTTGTGACGGAGGGTTGGGGCGGGCTGGGCCATGCAGGTCCGTGCTCAGGCTGTCTCTGGAGCACGGCGTCCGCTGCTGGCTGGGTGGAGGCGTCCCCATCACCTGAGTGAGGAAACCGGGGGCCTGGGGAGCTCGGGGTCTGGACCCGAGGCTGCCCTGAGGCTCGATGTAGTTCCGCTGTGCGTGCTGGGCACCGCGACCTCGTTTCTGGCTCGTGGGGCCACAAGCCAAGTCCGTACGTTTAAAGCTACGGTGATGAGCCGGACGTGCGATGCTCCATCTGGGCAACCCCAGTGGGGCTTTTGCTTTGAAGAGCTGAGCCCTGTCACTCTCCGGAGTCGCCTCCGGGCCACATCCCCAGGCCTGGTCCCCATTTTTCTTTTCTCACGGAGTCACCCCAGCTCTGCTGGGCCATCCCCCGTCTGTAGAACGGGCTGGCAGCCCGGCAGTGGCCCAGTGTGCGGGAGGGCAGGAGGCTGAGGCCCCGTGAGGAGCCCGGGGTCACAGAGCTGCTGAGGACGCGTGTGGCGTCTCTTGCTGCTGCTGCCTGGGCCTTTCCGTGTGGACCTGGAAGCCCCAGGCTTAGGACGGCGAAAGCCTGAGCACGGCCCTGGCAGGGAGGGGCGGGCATCCTGCAGTGGGGCGGGGAGCAGGCGAGGGTCTTGGCTCTCGGCCTCTGGGAGCCTGGGGGGCTCTGGGAGCACGAGGGGCGGCTGGCTGCCCCAGGTCCCCTGTCTTTCCATCGGGAACCAGAACGGCCAAGGGGCACGCTTGGTGATTGGGGGGGGGGGGTCAATTTTTTTCTCCTTGTAAATTTCTTATAAAATTCATTTCTAAAAGGACACAGTTCAGCAGGTTGTCACACATTCAGAGTTGTGCGACTATCACTTTCTAAAAATTTATTAATTTGTGCAAGTTCCTGGCCACCCTGGGTCTTGGTTGCTGTGCGCGGGCTTTCTCTAGCTGTGACGAGTAGGAGCTGCTCTTGGTTGCAATGCACGGGCTTCTCACTGCCGTGGTGTCTCCAGCTGCAGAACGCAGGGCTCTGGGGCACGTGAATTTCAGTTGCTCCCCGGCTTGTGGGGTCTTCCCAGGCCAGGGATCCAGCCCGTGTCCCCTGCATTGGCAGGCAGAATCTTAACCCCCGGACCACCAGGGAAGTCCCAGCCGTCACTCTTAGTTATAGAATGTTTTGTCCCCCCCGAAAGAAGCCCGCCCCCCACGCCCTCCCCCAGCTCTGGCAGCCCCGATCTGCGGCCTGGCCGCCTGCAGGCACTCACGGCCCCACCGCTGGCTGTCCGCGTGGCGCGCCCCTGGGTCTCTTGGCTTCCCGCGGCTGGTTGGCATGGCAATCCTGGGTGTGGGGGGCTCACCCGGTGAGGGCGCTCCCGTCCTGAACCGGGACAGTGACTGTTCGTTGAGCACCCGCTCTGTGCCAGCGGCCTCTTGCTGTGAGAGTGGCCTCTGTTCTGCGTCCACCTCTCCGCTGGACCTGGCCGCGCTTCAGGCTTGGCTGGTGTCCCGACTCACAGGCCGTGGAGCCGAGATGGAAACCACAGTCCCTCCCCGACACCGCCGCGTCCGTGTCCGTCTTCCCAGAGACGGCCCAGCACGGCCTCTGCTTCGGCCGTCCCTTGAAGGCCCCTTGTACCCGCAGGGTGCCCCCCGGGGGGGACCGTCCCACCCCCAAGGGTGCAGCGACTCCCTCCACCTTGCCGCCAGGCCTGTCTTCGTCACTTCGTGCCCCCCGGGTGCTGGCTGCGGTCCTGGGTGCCCCCAGCTCCCTGCAATCCTCTCCTCCGCCCTCCCGGAGCCTCTCGTTCTGAGAGCCTTGGCCCAACTCTCCCGTCCGCTTCCCGGGCTGATGTCTTTCCTCACGTTGTGTCTTCAGGGTGCAGTTTAAAAATTCAGTGCAGAGCAAGTAATCCGCCTGCCTCGTTTGCTCTGTCCCCAGAGAGCTCATGAGTGGGAGACGGCGCGCCCTGCGGGAGGTGTCTTGTCTGGTCCCCATCAGCTGGCAAAGGGCCAGGGTCTGTCCCTGGGGGGCCCCCACATGCTCGACCCTGTAACCCACTATGGAGGGGGGCGCCCCGTGTGGGGACACGGACGTCGGCGGGTTCTGTGTCCTCGCTGTGTGACCCAGGCCCGGCACGCAACCTCTCTGAGCTGCTGCCTGCTCTCGGGACGAGGGTGGCATCTGCCGCATCCATCCTGAGGGTTCAGGAGACGAGCACGCTGGCTCCAGGCACAGTGCCTGCGGATGATGGATGGTGGCGCGGGGCCACCCACACCGTCACCCCACCCCCAGCATGCAGAGCCAGGGGCTCGAGGGGCAGAGCTAGGTGGGTGCGTCCATGGCTGAGGGCTGGAGACCCTGCCCCATCGGGGCGAGTGCTCCTGTCTCTGCCGACGGCCCCGGGCATGACCAGGCCCACACAGCACGTTCTGGAAGGAGCCTCAGGCTGCAGGCGTGCGCCTGACCATCACCTTGGTCTGCGTGTTCCCGTGGGGCCCTTGGCAGTGATGGGCAGGGGCCGCCTCGCACAGGTCACCTCGCTGGCGAGGTTGGAGGTGGGACTCTGCCCACCAGTGATGCAACCGCCAGAGTGAGGAACGAGGTGGGTGCTCGTGGTCTGCCGCCTGAAACCTGCCTGTTTCCAGGAAAACAGCAAAATGGGATGGGGGTGCAGCCCCGTCTGTCTCGTTAGCAGGGGTGAGCGTGAGGGGGGCATCCTCAGCTCCTCGCCCCCTCCTCTGTGTCTGGGCCAGGGTTCCAGGGAGAGCAAGGCCCAGGGGAAGGGGACCAAGCCCGCTCTGGAGGGGTGCCCGGCCCTGGGCCATTGGAACAAGAGGCCTCCCCAGGCCGTGACGAGGCAACAGTGTCACCCCCCAAAGCCCCCTTTGTCTTCTCACCCCTCGGGCCCCCTGAGCCCCCGTGGGAAGCAGCATGGACACCCACCCCACCCCCCACCCCCGCCGCTCTGCTCTGGGAAACACATCTTGTGAGGATGACCACACTTGCCTTTGCTGGTTGGGGTTTGGTGATGCGGTGTGCGGTCCTGGGAGCAGGCGTGCGTCACCCCTGGTGAGGGAGAGGGCTCCTCGGAGGGCGCGGGGGGGCGAGGCCCAGGCTGTCCCCACCATGGAGGGGCTGGCCTGTGGTGGGGAGAGCGGCTGCCAGGAGGGGCCGTGGGCAGCCCTGTGGCTCCCTCAGCAGGGTCTCCCCAAACCCACCGCAGGCTGGCTGTGTGCCCACTGCCCCCATTCTGCGAGGTCCTCGCCTGTATGTGCTTATGGCGGGAACTTCACCTCCAGGGCACACATGTGCTCATGACTGTGGGTCAGGGGGGGTCCCTGCCAGTCCTGGGTGAAGTCTGGGAGGGCTCAGCTGTGGGGGGACCCTCCGCATGGGACGCTGGTCCTCCCTCCACATCCATCACAGCACCTCCCATCCTGTCCGTCCCCATGACGCTGCCCGCACACTGCTGCCCTCGACCCCGAGAAGCTCAGGGCACTGGAAGGTGGCCCGGAGGTCCTGTTTTAGGGACATGTCACTGGTCACTGGCCCTCCCCCCACGGAGGAGAGGAGGGAGACAAGCTGTGAGGCTGAGGACGGGCCCGGCCCTCCTCGCTCAGGGCTGGCCCTGGCACAGGAGCCCTGGTTTGGGGTATCCAGTTGGTGCTCAGCGATTATCCGGGTGTCAGGTCGAGGGCGCACATCTGGGAGCTGACGGCCTCTGTGCTGCCGCAGAGTCGTGTTTTCAGTTCGCACTCCTGCCCCCGTGGAGGCAACTTTGGGGTCTCAGCTGTTAATGACGTGAGCCCGGGCAGCCCCGGGTGCTCACCTGCTGGCTCAGAGACGGAAGGGACATGGAGCGCTGTGCACTGTCACCCCAGCCGCCCCCCGACGCCTGCCTCGCACCACGGTTAATCACGGCCGCCCTGAGCCCAGGGTTGGGGGCACCGCGCACTGATTGGCGGGTACCTGGTCGGGCATCCCCCAGGGGCCAGGCTGCTAACTGCCTGTGGCCTCCGGCACCCGTCCCCCACCCAAGTCCCACCCGCCCCCTCCTGGCTCTTCATTCACCGCCCGGTGCTTGGAAATGATGCTGGTCCCCAGAGACCTGCTGATGGTGTGGGGCGCAGAGATGGAACGGGGGCCGGGCAGCAGGTGGCCCCGAGTCCCCGCGTGCAGGGGCAGTGTGAGGCCTCCCCAGTGAGGCCCCGGCTCCCCCTCCATCTGCCCGGCCCTGGGGGGTTGACCCCGTGTCCCCCACCCCCCGGGCAGTGCAGTCTCCCGGGTGACTGCTTGGGACACTTGGTGCATCCGTTTTCTTTCTTTTTTGGCTCCAGAGCGCGTGGGCCCACTTCCTCCACCCACAGGGTGGCCCCGGGCGCACAGGCGGTCCCCCGCCCGCTCTGTGGCTCTGTGTCCTTCCATCAGCAGCGGGTGTGGCGGGAGGTTCTGGTCAGCGCTGCTGACCTGTGTCTGGGTGGATCGGGGCCCACTGCCCCACACGGCGGGTCCCTGGGGTGGGGTGCGGACACTGCTTCGCGACCTCTGCAAGCTGCCTCGCCAGGGGGCGGTTCGGGGTACAGGGCTTCCCTTCATCAGCTGTCCACGCCCTGGGGCGGGCCGGGTCAGCCCACCTCCAACCGCTGCCGCCTTGAAGCTGGTGTCCCGGGCGGACCCCCGACCCGACAGACGCAGCTAGTTTCAGAATCTTGGAGTTTGTCCTGGGGAGGGGGTTGTGGGAAGGCAGCCAATGGCCCCCTGGCATCGGCCATCCCCGGTGGCCGTGACAGCTGGCCAAGGCTGGAGCTTGCCCGGCCAGTGGGTGGCGCAGCTGGGGTTGGGGGTGGGTGACGTCCTGACCTAGGGGTGGGCCTGGTGTTGGCCTGGGCGACTCAGGGTTGCAGAGCTGCTGGTGTGTGGGCCATGGTTGTTTGGTCCATTTGGAGAATCAGATCACACCTCAGGGGCAACAGCCTTCAGGCGACCGCCCACTGGCCAGGCCCTGACGGGTGGGGGCTGGGAGCAGGGGCCCCCGGCCCTGGCGTTGTTCTGGAGGTGACTGAGCCCTTAGACAGCCCCGGCTCTGTCTGGACCAGTGTCTCCCGCGGGGTCGCCCTGTACAGTTGTGCAGGTTGCGCACAAGCCTAGGAAGTGCACTGAGCCAGCCACAACGGCGCACCTTCCTGGGGGCACAACTCCGTGCCAGCCTCTGTGGGCCTCGGGGTCCAGCCGCTCCGCCTCCCGGCCCCTGCTGAGCCCACACCTGGCCGGGGGGTCCTCGGGGCAGAGAGAAGGGCCTCGAGTCAAGCACCCTGGGCCGTAGGCCACCCTCCTCCCCATCAGGCAGAGGTGTCACTGGGGAGCAGGAGTGTGGTCGGTTGAAGAGACAAGAGGACCAGGGTCTTGGCCCCTGGGATCAGGCAGGTTCTGCAGAGAACCCCAGGGGGAGCTATGGAAGCCATGAGTTTCTGCTTGCAGCGGGGGCGGTGTATACTGGCCCCCTGGTTCAGGCCTCTCAGAGGGGCGCTTTGTGGGACGGGGCATCTCGGGACATCAGCAGTAGGCTCCTGGGCCAGGTCTGCCGCCTCCAGGTATCCGAGCTGGCCCAGCCCCCATGGGCAGGGCCCCAGCTGAAGCTCTGCTGTGTGACAGAATCAGGGGCATTTTTCCGGGCCTGCCCTAGACCTGGTCCCTGGGTGTTCTTTGTGGCTCACAGGTTTGGGGGGTCTGTGTGTGATGGGGCACCATGTGGGCATCTGAGGGGCCTCTGACCCCCGACCGCAGCCCAGAGCAGCACAAGGTGTGGGTGTGCACACAGCCCGGCTGCATGGGGCCTGGGCATGCCTCTGGGGGGCCCCCAAACCGCAGACTCCAGCCTCCCAGGGGCCACGCTGCCAGGATAGGCCTCGAACTAGAGACCCACCTGGGGGCAGGGGCATCGGGGGCTGAGGACGGGGAGACTGGACGCACTGTTGCCCCCTCCCCCCGCCCCTCAAGGGAGCTGCTGTAGGCGGGCGCCTTCCCATCGGGGCCCCAAGTCCTCGCGGCCCCCACACCCTGTGCCCTCCTCACCTGCTGCCCCTGCAGCTGCCGGAGGCGGAACTGCCCTGCAGACCTGGACGCCTCCAGCCATGCTGGCTACCCATCCCCGCCACCCCCTCTGGGGGAGAAGCCCAGGGGTGCAGGCTCAGGGTGGGGGTTCCTTCCAGGGCGGGGGGGAGGGAGTGGAAAGCAGGTCACAGCGATGGTTGCACAACGTTGTGAACGTGCTGACTGGCCCGTGCACCATAAACCCCACGTTACAGTTCAGTTCTCGAGATAAAGTGAGCTCGTTTGATGTCCTAGTAATACAGGCCTCTCTCAGCCCCACCCCTGGCCAGGCCTGGCCAGCAGCAGGCCCACTGCCCCCCGCCCCCCACTTGCTTTCCTGGGGCTCAGTCCCCATCCACATTGGGGGGACCTGCTTATTCCCCTGGCTCTTCCAGCCCCCTTTGGGGTAGAGATGGGGTGAGCAGCCCCGGGGAGGGGCGGGCAAGGCACGCCCACCTGGTCGGTCGGTCGTGTCCCCCGTTCCTGCCTGGGCCCCAGGCTGGGCCGGGGCGTCTGCGGAGCCTGGCCTCTGCTCAGGCGCTGTGTCCTTCTCCCGCAGGGTCTTCACTGAGCAGCGAGTCGTCCCCCGTCTCCTCTCCGGCCACCAATCACAGCTCCCCGGCCAGCACGCCCAAGCGCGTGCCCATGGGCCCCATCATCGTCCCCCCTGGGGGACACAGCGTCCCCAGCACGCCCCCCGTGGTGACCATCGCCCCCACCAAGACCGTCAATGGCGTCTGGAGGAGTGAGAGCCGCCAGGTGAGTGGGGGGCTGATGGGGGGTCATCTCGCGCTGAGATCCGCTTCCCTCCGAGGGAGCGAAGGACAGCAGCTGCCCGGAGGGTCTGTGTGTCACGAGAACACTCTCGGGGCTCGTGGTCTGGGGCTGACCTGGTGAGCCCCGCAGAGCAGGGTCAGGACAGATTTGCTCTAGGGCCGGCGTCCCAGCTGTGGACAGGCTCAGCCCCTCCCAAGGCCTCTCTGCTCAGCGTGTGGACGGCCATCCTGTCCCCACGGCCTCACGGGCTCTTCCTTCTATGCCTGCCTGTGTCCCGGTCTCCCCTTCTTCCGAGGACACCAGGGCCCGCCCTAGTAACCGCATGGCGCCTCGATCACCCCTGCACACACACCCCGTTTCCCGCACATGGTCACTTTGTGAGGTCCTGGGGCCTGGGACTCCCACAAAGGAATCTGTGGGGGGGCACAGAATGGTGTTTGCAGATCATGAGCACTTCTTGTAAACATGAGCTGTTATTATTCCTGTCTTTTGCACCCGCGTGTTCACAGCTCGCCTTATGACACTTGTCTTAACTGGCGAGGCCTGCTCGCCCCAGGAGGCCTTTCCCACACGTGGCGGGGCTCCCTGGGTCTGCGCCCAGGTGGTGTGGCTCCTCGGGGGACTCGCCCCCGCACCCCCAGCCTGGAGGGCCCTCCTAATTAAGAACGCGGCCACTGCGCCGAGCTCTGGATGTTTCTGCCGAGTCCCCAGAGGGCCAGTGCCACTTGGAAGCACTAATTAAACCCGGAGAAAGCAGGAGGGGGTTGGGGGATGGCGGGTCTTCGGCTCGGCCCCCAGCTCTCTGCCCTGAGAGCGGGAGGGGGCAGCCTCTGTCCGCAGAACGGGGAGTCCCTGAATTCCCGGAAGGAGGCCAGGACCCAGCTTGGGGTAGCCCTACCTTGACCCCCACGTGTGAGGTGCAAGACCCTCCTGGCTCATCCCTGGGCTGGGCAGGGCCCAGCAGGGCCGATCCTGGCCAGAGTGGGCTGCGGACGCCCAGCTGTCCCCTGGGCCCGGTTTGAGGGAGAACCAGGGTCCGCACCACAGTCTCCTGCCTCCAGGGGACCCGTTGCCCCCTGACAGTCAGCCCTGACCTCGGGGCCCACCTGCCTCTCCTCTCGCCCCCGGGGCCCGGCAGTTGCTCGTCTTGCCCTGCGCCCAGCTGTTGCCCTTCCAGGCCCAGGAGCCTCCTCAACGGCTCCCTCCTGGCCATGGGCCCCTTCCCCCGAGCTCGACTCTCCTCCGAGGGTCCTCACAGCCTTGGAAGTATCGAGTGACCCCGAAAAAGGGCTGTGGGGGCCGTGCTCTAGCCGCTTAGCACGCGGTGGCCGGTGAGCGAGACACGGGCGCCCCAGGGAGGCGGGCCGGGGCTGGGGAGCAGCGAGGGATGGGCTGGCTGGCACAGAAGCTCAGTGGAGGGTGTAATCCTCCTGGGGGGGGGGCTGGGAACAGGAGGGGGAGTCGTTTCCTGGCGGGGAAGCTTGGGGGGTGTTCTGCATGGGGGTCGCCGGCATTTCCCAGGTGGCAGGAGCAGCGTGGGGACAGATGAAATGACAAATAGTCTATTTGAGAGCTAACAGGGCGTGTCTGCCCGTCTGCCTGGTGGAAGCCGCTCTAATCACCAGAGAATGGAGGGTCCCCCTCCCCGTCCTCCCTCTGTCTGCAGCTGCGCCCGCGGCCGCCGCTCAGCAGGGAGAGCCGCCCGCAGGTGCTCCCAGGGCAGCAGCTGGAGCTCCCGGGCGCGGCCCCCTGACCTCCTGCCCAGGTGCCCGTCGCAAGCTTGGTGGGGCTCCAGGCAGGCGGGGGGCACGTGGGTCTGGCCCACTGGACCGCCGGCCGCCACCCCCAAGCCTTTCCCGCCCGGGAAGGTGCCATCTGGCTCCGCCGCCTTTGAGCCGGGCTTTGTCCTGCTGCGGGCTTTGTCCTGACAGGGCTGACCTGCCTGGGGCTGGTGCACCCGGGGCCTCGCTCTGCCGTCTGGTCCAGCAAAGGGGGCCGGGAGTGGCCTTAGCTCCTCCCCAGGCTGTACGCACGGGTCCCCTGTGAGGCCTCCGCCCTCTGGGGCTGCCAGCCAGGAGGCAGCGTCTGGGTCCCCTCGCTATGAGGCCCAGCGTTTCCCGGGGGCCGCCCTGTACCTCAGGGGCCTCAGGCTTCAGCCGCTGTGTCCCCGCCCAGGCAGCAACCCCCCCCCACCCCCGGTCAGTCCAGCGGGGTTTAAGGCCTTCACCCCGTTTGTGATGGCCGGGCCCCATGCCAGCGGAGGGGGTGTGTGGGGGGGTGCAGCTGCGAGTGCAGGACCCGCCTCTTGTGCACGTCCAACCGGGGCGGGGGGTGCCCCCTCTAGGGCCTTGGAGACCAGGGGGAGTGCCGGCTCCCTGCTCCGACCTGCGTGTGGGGCTCACCCTTGACGCCCCCAGCCTGGTGAACCCCCCTGGGAAAGAGGGAGTCGGAGCCCACATGCAGCCCTGGTCACAGCGTGGCCAGCGGCCCGTCTCCTGCGGTGAATGCCGCTGCCCTGTCTTCCAGGGCCCGGGAGGTGCTGTGGCCGCCCGCCGGGTGTTCCATAGACATGATGACGGGTGGGCTCCTCCCCTGCGGGGGCTGTGTGGTCCGTCCCATGCACCCCCGTGCGGGGAGCGAGCCTACCTGAGGCTCTGCGATCCCCGTCTCCTGACCCGATGGGGGAGACGTCAGGCAGACAGGGGAGGGTGTCTCCCTGACCCTTTGCTCTGGGGCGGACGGACCTCGGCCTGTGTCCTGCTCTCCTGTCGCTGACCAGGGTGACCGGGCCAGGCCTGACGCCAGGTGAGGGGGGCACCGTGCGACAGCCTGTCCATGGCCTGCCTGCTCAGAGCTGGACACTTCTGCAGGTGGGCCTGCAGGACGTTCCTCCATGTGGCCGGGACTGGTGGGGGCCACCGCCTCCTGCTTCCTGCCTTGAGTGAGCCCCTTCTGGTTTCCTTGGGTCTCCCTCCTGAGCCCTCCAGGCCCCTCTGTTGGTCAGGAGTCTGGGCAGACGGGCCCACAGCCCCCACCAGTGTGCAGAGGTCCCTAGGCAGGTCTGGCCCCACAGCTGCCTGCTCTGGCCTGAGCCAGGGCCGCCCAGGGTCTGTCTGGCGGTAGGGAGAGGCTGGCCTGTTTGGCCCGGGGCAGTGCCAGCTGCTCAGCCACATCTTCCAGGGGCATCAAGGCCCAGTGATCTGTGAGGCAGACCGGCAGCTGCCACCTGGGCCCTTGGGACGCTGGCGTGAGCGGGTGGGCGGTGGTCAGGGGGCTCAGTGGCTGTCACCCCCGCCGCAGCACGGAAACTGTCAGGAGAGAGCATCGCGAGAACATCCCTCTGAAGCTCGACCGCTCCTCTGCGTTCGGAGGAAGGCCTGGCCTGCTGCCGGTGGCCGAGCTCTGAGCCGCCCCCAGCCCTGACCCACACTCTCTTCTTCAGCAGGACGCCGGCTCCCGGGGCAGTGGCGGTGGCCGCGAGCGCCTCATTGTGGAGCCCCCGCTGCCCCAGGAGAAGGCGGGGGGCCCGGCCATCCCCTCCCACCTGCTCAGCACCCCCTACCCCTTTGGCATCTCGCCTAGCTCCGTGGTGCAGGACTCCCGCTTCCCACCACTGAAGTAAGTGTGGGCTGGGGCCCGGGGGGCGGGCACAGTGTGGGGCAGGATCCCCGAGGTTCTGGCTGCTGTGAGTCCACACCAGCTGAGCCCGAGAGCCACCAGATGGCGGCCCTGCCCTGGGCTGGTAGCTCTGCTGGCCATTGCCACTTGAGCTCACAGTGGGCTCGCTGCCTGCCTGACCCTAAACCCCCAGCCTGGCTCCTGGGGCGGTTCCCCCGGGCTGCATGTAACAGACCCGTGCCCCCGGTGAGGGCCAGTGAGGGGCCAGGGCGGCCCGAGGAGCGGCAGCTGCCCAGCTCTGGGCCCTGGGCCTCCGGTGGGGACTGCCCTTGGGAGGAGGGAGGCGGTGGCGGGGTGCAGGGCGTGGCCCACGCGCCCGGAGCTCACCGCCGCCGCCCCTCCCACCCGCAGCCTGCAGCGGCCTGTGCACCACGTGGTGCCCCCCAGCACGGTGACCGAGGACTATCTGAGGAGCTTCCGGCCCTACCACACGGCCGAGGACCTCCGCGTGTCCTCCCTGCCTCCGCTCGGCCTGGACCCAGCCACCGCCGCGGCCTACTACCACCCCAGCTACCTGGCCCCACACCCCTTCCCGCACCCGGCCTTCAGGTGAGGCGTCCAGCGTCCCCAGCCACCCGCGGGCAGGCCCTGGTCAGAGACCAGACTCCCCCGGGGGTGGACCCTGGGGCGGGCCGCTCCCCCAGCCTCCGGATGAGCCGTCGGGAGCTTGCTCCTGGAGGGAGACTCTCCTCGCACCAGCCGGCCTCCCTGCCTCCTCCGTTTCTACCGAGGGTTCCATGGGTGCTTGACTCTTAGTCCACGGAGCGCGTGGTTCACATGCGGCAGGTGGAGACGGCACTGGGTCTCCGCTTTGTGTAGTAGCTTTCCGGGTCAGACGGTCAGACCTGGAGGGGCCCCACTGGGCTTGGCCCGGCTGAGCTGGGGGTGGCAGGCAGGGTCTTGTGGCCTCCGGGAGTATGGGGCTTTGGGGCTGGCTATGGAAGGGGGCTCTCGCGGGACTTTTGTGGAGACCCCGTCCGGCGCTCCCGCATCAGTGCCCGTGTTTGGCAGGGGGCTGGGTCCCGCCTTCCTCTCTGCCTTGGCTGCTCACCAGCCCCTTCTGCCCCCCACAGGATGGATGACTCCTACTGCCTGTCAGCCCTGCGGTCCCCCTTCTACCCCATCCCTGCCCCCGGCTCCCTGCCCCCACTGCACCCGTCGGCCATGCACCTCCACCTCTCAGGGGTCCGCTACCCTCCTGAGCTCTCCCACTCATCCCTGGCGGCACTGCACTCGGAGCGGATGTCCAGCCTCAGCGCTGAGAGGTAAGCCAGCCCCGTCCCGGGGCCCTCGGCTCACCACACCAGAGCCCGGCTGGCCAGGTGTGTGTAGACAGTCCACCCCTGCAGAAGGGGCGCTGCCGGGAGGTCCCGGCCACTGTCTGGGGCTGTCCTCACAATCGCTGGCCCCGGCCAGGAGCCTTCCAGGCGCCTGGAGAGTCTCTGTCCACGACTTTTGGTTTCCAGTGGAGGCTGAGTTTTCTTGGCGCATGAGTGAGAGCAGAACCTGGCCCGCAGCCCATCCTCGTAGAGAGGAGAACCCCGGGCTCAGGTGTGAGCGCCTCGCTCCCGGGTGTCACATCTCCGTGCTCACCCCCAGGCTGCAGGTGGACGAGGAGCTGAGGCGGGAGAGGGAGCGGGAGCGGGAGCGGGAGGCCGACCGTGAGCGCGAGAAGGAGCGGGAGCGCGAGCGTGAGAAGGAGCGCGAGCGTGAGAAGGAGCTGGAGCGTGAGAAGGAGCGGGAGCTGGAGCGCCAGCGGGAGCAGCGCGCCCGCGAGAAGGAGCTGCTGGCCGCCAAGGCGCTGGAGCCGGCCTTCCTGCCCGTGGCCGAGCTGCACGCGCTGCGGAGCCACGCCGCCGAAGAGCGGGCCAAGCCCTCGGAGCAGCTCACCCCGACCCGTGCAGGTACCTGGGAGGCTGGTGGCTTCAGTCTGAGCGAGGACGGGGGCGGGGTGCGGCCCTGGATCAGGAGCTGAGGACAGGGACGTCCACTAGCCAGATTCAGAGTTGGCGTGAAGGCTGGCAGATCAATGGGATTGTGCACCGTAGTACGACCAAATTCTTAGAGATGGTAGGTTAAAAAGATAATCAAAGCTTAGTTTTTAGCATACTTTATTTTACTATATACTTAAACAGTGAATTTGCACAGCAGCCCGTCTAACCTTTCTTTTTAATGTACTTTACATACACTATACTTAGGTACAACCTTAGTTTCCACGGTTGTCTAGCCTCTAGTGTGGGCGATTCCCCCCAGAGCTCAAGTCCACTCTGCTGCGTGGTGTGAGCCCGTCCAGGGTGTCACTCAGATGAGGCAGGACCCCCGGGGAGCAGCCACGTCCTGCTGTTCTTGGCGCGGCCCCACGGAAAGGGGGCACCCTTCTCCAGGGCGGGGTGGGCTGAGCCCGGTGCCAGGACCCCGCCCCACCCTGACGGCCTGCCCCGCCCACAGAAAAGCTGAAGGATGCGGGCCTGCAGGTGCCCAAGCCGGTGCAGCACCCCCTGCACCCGGCAGCCGCCCCGCCCCACGCGGCGCCCGGCCTCCTCGCCGGCCACGGGCTCTTCTCGCTGCCGGGCAGCAGCGCGGCCACAGCCCTGCTCCTGCAGCGCACCAACGAGGAGGAGAAGTGGCTGGCGCGGCAGCGGCGCCTGCGGCAGGAGAAGGAGGACCGCCAGTCACAGGTGTCGGAGTTCCGGCAGCAGGTGCTGGAGCAGCAGCTGGACCTGGGCCGGCCGCCGGCGCCCGCGGACCCCGAACACCGGCCAGAGAGCGCCAGGTGGGCCCCGGGGGGCGTGCGGGGGAGCCTGCGTTTAGCGAGCGCCTCCGGTCTGCTGCCTGTGGAGTGCTGTCCCCTGGGTTCCGTGTCACCTTCTAAGACCCCCGTCTGGGCCGGGAGGAGGGAGACGGGGGAGGAGGAGGGTGCTCGCTTCAGGGGCTTCATCCGCCAGGAAATGTGTCCACAGCCAGCCCGGCCCACCCTGCAGGGCAGGCTTGGTGCCTGAGGGGGCCTGCCGAGAAGCTTCCATGGATACTTAATCTCTGTGCTAGCATCTCTCTCTGCCTGAACTGGAACAAGAAGGGGACTCCCTTTGATTTTTAATCATACAAAAAGTTAATTTTATTTTTTTATAAATTTTTTTTTAAATAACCCATTTTTACCTGCCCTGTTGTTAAAAAAAAAAATAATACAACTTCTCGAGAGGCCCTTAGTCCTGTCTTTGGGACCCTGGCTGCCGACACTCACCTTGTGAGCTGGGCCCCTTCGCGGAGCTGACCCGGGGCCTTGCTGCCCCCACCTGCTGATCTGGCTGTCACCCCGTGTCCCCCCCCACCCCACCTTCCCTCCAGGGCTCCTTCCAAAGGCCCAGGTGGAGACCCTCAGCCAGAGTTGGCGGCAGGAGCGGGTCTAGGCCTGGGGGACGCTGGGCCCTGGCCCGTCTCCTCCACTGTGCAGAGTTCGGGCGGGAGGGCTTCTGAGCCTCTTCCCAGCCCTCGGCGTCCACGGTGCCTTCTTCTCAGGATGAGAAACGCTTAAGGTGTCGGGCGAAGGTGTGAGTGCCACTTGGCTGCCTCCCTCTTTGCTCCAGCTCCTGCTGGCCAATGGGTTTCTGTATCCTGGGCGCAGCTGACCTATCCAAGCCCCTGCCTCGGCATCCACTGATCAGGGCGCCTGGGGAGGATTTGCCCGGCTAGCTGTGTGTGGCAGGAGTGAACCACGACCAGATCCCTGGCTAGGCCTCTGTCTTGCTCAGGCAGTCTGGCCTCGGTGAGCCAGCCGGGACATTCTGCTGCACATGGTTCCCCTGCTACTCAGGACCCACGCGGGGCCACGTAAGGGCTGTCTCATCTACTTCTGAGCCGCCCTCTGCTCCCGTGATCCCCTAGGGGGCCGTGCGAGCAAGCGGTGCATGCCCACCATCTCCTGAGGAGTTCAGGGCACGCTGCCTCCCTCGGCCTGGGGCCCCACGATCCCAGTGCGGCTGTTGGCGCGCGGGCTGCTGCCGCAGCAGGCGTGGCCTCTGCCCCTGGTCAGGTGGTGCCTATGGCAGCATGACGTTCTCTCGGGGCCCTCTGATCAGAGCTAGAAAACTAGTCTGTGCCTGGCTCCAGCGCAGGAAGTTTATTATGGCACCAGGTTTTATGCCTTGAGGGATGCAGCTTTTCGATGCGGTTGGTCCCCTTTGGTATCTGCCCGGCAGCAGTGCAGTGGCCTCTGGGGCTGTGGTGGGCCGGCCCCCTCCTCGCACAGGAGCAGCCCTGGGCACCTGCCTCCTGTGCCTGCCGTTCCCTCTGCCCTTTCCCCTCCAGTCCCCTCAGATGTTGCCCTCGGTCACCTTGGCAGCATGGGGCTTCGCTTAAAAAATAGTAGGTGAGCTGGAGAAAACAGCAGCCAAGTAGTCTCCTGAAGGTTGAATTTGAATTCTGTTTAAAATGCACCAGGGAGAGAGGCACTTGGTTCGGCCTTGAGGCACTGCTGGTCTGAGGCCGGTGGGAGGGGGTGTGCACTCTGCCGGTGACCTGGGACAGGCCCCGGTCTGGTCCTCAGAGACCCTCTGGGTGTGGCTGTTGCTCCCTGGGCACGTGGGGTCGCTTCGGTCCTGACAGGGACCACCAGGGGGGAGCAGCTGGCCGTGAGGGTCTCCTTGGGGAGTCTCCCCAAGTCCAATCAGGCGGGTAGACCCCTCAAGCTGGTCTCTGGCAGTGATCTATGAGCACAGTGTGGGGAGAGGAGACTGGCCCACCCCCACTCTCTCCCACGGGTGACACGCCTTGGGCTTGGGTCCTCTCCCAAGCTGGTCTGCACCAGCCTGGGGAGGACGTGGGTCCCTTGGCTGCAGAGAGGAAGGCATGTCCTCCCTCCAGCCCTGGGAAACGGCCCCCAGGAGGCCTTCTCGCCCCCTCCAGTGCTGGCTGGGGGCTCCTGGCCCGGGCCCTGGGCTGATGGCTGCTCCTGTCCCCCGCTCCCCCCCACACAGGCCGGGACCGACCCGCCACGAGCCGGGCAGCCGCGAGCCCCCCCAGCACTTTGGCGGGCCCCCACCGCTCATCTCACCCAAGCCCCAGCACCCCGCGGTGCCCACGGCCCTCTGGAACCCCGTGTCCCTGATGGACAGCTCACTGGAGCCACGGCGCGCCCCCGAGGGCCACCCCCTGCACGGCCACCCTGCCCCGTTCGAGCCCAGCCGCCCGGCCGCTGTCCCGCTGGTGAAGGTGGAGAGGGTCTACTGCCCAGAGAAGGTGGAGGAGGGGCCCCGCAAGCGCGAGGCTGCCCCCCTGGACAAGTACCCGCCGCCGCCCCGGGAGCCGGGGTCCCTGGAGACGCAGGCCTTCCCCCCCGGACCCGGGCCCTTCCTGGCAGAGCTCGAGCCGGCCGCCCCAACTGTCTTGGGCCAGCCCCGGGCCTCGCTTGCCCCGCCGGCCACCTTCGGGGAGCCCCCCGGACCCCTGAAGCCAGGCTCGCCCTACCGGCCACCGCCGTCTCGGGGCCCCGACGCGGCCTACGTCTACGACGAGCTCCTGCAGCGGCGCCGGAGGCTGGTCAGCAAGCTGGACCTGGAGGAGCGGCGGCGGCGGGAGGCCCAGGAGAAAGGTCTGCTTCCCCCCTCGTTCCTGCGCCAGGTGGGGTGGGAAGCGGCCAGCAGTGCCCTGGGGTTCCCTGGAAAGCCACCAGGAACGGGAGAGCAGGCCCGGGGCGGGCGTGGCCGCTTTCCACCTGCATCCCCCAGCAGCCGGGTGGGATCAGGGGTCCCAGCCCAGCTTCTTCTGCCAGGTGCCGAGCCCAGCCTCACAGTCAGAAGCGGGGCCCGAGGCCACGTGAGGAGCACGTGTTTGGTCCTGGCTCGGCCGAGGGTCCCCAGAGGGCCTCCCCTCCGCTCACCTGTGAGGTGATGGGGACAGACCCCAGTGCCCTCGGGCTCTGCTGTTCTGCACGGGACTCTGCGAGCAGGCTCTGTGCCTTTGCCAGGACAGGGAGCCTGCATGTGCCTGGACCCTCCTGAGCAGGAGGGGGAGTGGATGTGCAGACAGACCTGGGCTGCCCTGGCCCGGGGCTGGAGTGAAGGACAGTCCCCTGCCGGGGGGCTGCGTCAGCCCTGGTGCCCACCTCATGCCCCCACCCCAGCCCTGAGGAGGCCTGGGGTTAAGGGGACGCTGGGCCCAGGGTTGGGGGTGGTCAGGAGCAGCAGGGCCTGGCCTGCCGGGGGCTCTCGGGCCCCAGGGGTGCCCCACGTGTGTCCCTGGAGAGGCGAGGCCCCTTGCCTGGCTGAAGAGCTCCGTGCCCACCTCCAGGATACTACTACGACCTGGACGACTCCTACGACGAGAGTGATGAAGAGGAGGTCAGGGCCCACCTCCGCTGCGTGGCCGAGCAGCCGCCCCTCAAACTGGACACATCCTCTGAGGTATCTGGGGTCTCGCTGCCGTCGGGCCCTGGGCTGGGCTGCGGGCACCCCCTCTCGGCTTCCCCGTGCCGGCTGGGACGCCGTCTGGGCGCCCTCCTCCCACTCCCTGGGCCGGCCCGGCCCAGAGTGTCCACAGCGCAACCTTCGAGGCCCAGGAGGCCCCGGGGTCAGCAGGAGCCTCTGCCCACGGTTTCAACCTCATTTGTTTTCTTTCCCAATCTAGAAGCTAGAGTTTTTGCAACTTTTTGGCTTGACCACCCAACAGCAGAAGGAGGACTTGCTGACCCAGAAGCGGAGGAAGCGCCGGCGGATGCTGAGAGAGCGCAGCCCGTCGCCCCCACCGGCGCGGAGCAAGCGGCAGACGCCCTCGCCCAGACTGGCGCTGTCCACCCGCTACAGCCCCGACGACATGAACAGCAGCCCCAACTTCGAGGAGAAGAAAAAGTTCCTGACCATCTTCAACCTGACCCACATCAGCGCCGAGAAGAGGAAAGGTGAGGCCAGGCCTCGGGGCGGGCTCGCCGGGGCGGCTGTGGGCCTCTGAGGAAGCAGGCAGGGCCGTGGGCTCTGGGGGCTGAAGCCGCCCCTCGGCTCTCACGGACTCACCCCCCCGGCTCTTCGCCACCACGCCTCTCTCGGTTGGAAACGGAGAGCGGCCCCTTCAGAGCGCTCTTTCTCTTGTGTCGTCCTGTGAAACTGAAGGCGGCTGGTGGTCTGTGCAGTCAGCTATGGACTCCCACCCGCTCCTGCCCCCGGCCAGGTCTCCCAGTGCCTCCGGCCCCAGGGTGGGGGGTACGTGCACCCTACTGCAGCAGAGTGCTCAGCCCGTGTGGTCTCTGGGTCTCCGCTTCGCGGGCGGCTCACGTGGCCGCCGTTTCTGGTTCTGATGGCAGGGGTGGTCTGCAGCCACGGGGCAGGGCTGGGCCGACACCCACTGTGCGTGGACGGCTCGCCCTTCTGGAGCCATCTGGCCACCAGGGGCCGACTGGGCTGGAATCTGAACTCACCTTCTGGGGCACCTTCCTTGGTCTGCGCCTTAAACACTGCTTGGTCAGTGCTGGGGGGACACTTGACCTTTCTAGGCCGCACCCCCACCTGTCCCCCCTCGCTGAGGCCTGGTCACCTCTTTCTGGAAGGAAGTCCGAGGAAAGCAAGAGTGCTCAACGGTCATTTTAGTTGCTTTCACTTGTTTCGTTCGTTTTCGGCCGAACCGGGGGGCCTGGATTTCTCTTCTTCCTTAAGGGGGGTAGTGATGCAACCACGACACATCCCTGGGAACGTGAAGGGTTTTGTTTGAGAAGAGCGTCTCTCAGCCAACGGCGATGTGGCCGCCTAGATGTCAGCAGTTCAACGGGGGGCCCCCAGCCCGCGGGGTCACAGGGGGTGTGTGTCCCTCTTCCCTGGTGGCAGCTGTCATGGGAGCCACACATGCGACGGAAGCAGCGGGGAGTGGACCGCCCCGGGAGAGAGCCTGCCGGCCCGAGGCACAGTGTGGCTTTTCGGGGTTGCTTCCTGTGTTGAGGCCAAATTTTTAAAGTGAGAATTCACCCACAGAGGCTCGCAGGTACCTGTGACTCGCCACACGTGTGCACCGCTCTTCTTGGAACGCACCTGAAACCTTAGGTGGTGACAGCCGAGGAGCCCGGGCTCTAAAGTGAACTTTCTTCCTCTAAAGCCAGCCTGTGCCCATAGCCTTGTGTCTCTCGTTCTGAAGGACTCGCACCTGCCAGCCGCGGCCTGAGCTACACTCCTCCTCTGCCCGCTCAGGAGTGGTGCGACCCCCCCCCGGTAATCTCGGGCTGCTTTTCTCACAGACAAGGAGAGGCTTGTTGAGCTGCTCCAGGCCATGAAGCAGAAGGCGCTGTCCGCCGCGGTGGCAGACCCGCTCAGGAGCTCTCCGAGGGACAGTCCTGCCGTGTCCCTGAGCGGTAAGGCCAGCCCCATCCGCCACCCCCGGGACTGTCCCGGGGGTGCCCAGGGCCGCAGGCCACCCCCAGGTCATCTTCCTCCCGGACACGGCGGGCTTCTTTCTTCCTCTCCCTTCTCTCTCTCAAGCCTCCTGCGCGTGGGAAGACCTCAGCGGAACGCGGTGTCGGCAGTCACGCTCTCGGGTGTGGGGGTCCTGGCTCCTCCGGCGGACACTGCCTGGTGGCGGGTGTGGCTGTGCCGCCGTCTGTCTCCGCGCTGTGGCCCGGGTTTTGGTTCCAGCACTTGCCACTCGGGCTCCATGCTCCCAGCGTGTGTCTTGCAGGCCTTGTTACACCTGCTTTCACTCTCTCTCTCTCTCACGTCTCTCATTCTGCCGTCCTGCTGATGGAGCAGGAGATACTGGTGGTCCGGCCCTGTTCCTGGCTCCTGATTTAGTCTCTCTCTGGATCTGGCTGTGTAACGCCTCTCGGATGACCAGAAGCGACTTGCTCCTTCCTTCACATTCTTCTTCTTCCCAGACGCCTTCCTGGGGCACCTTTCAAGGATGGCCTTGCTGCTTAAACATGGCCCGTCTCAGACCAAACAGTGCACGCTGACCTTTACTTAAATGGTTCCGGAGTTGGTCCTCTGTCCTAGGTTAGAGATCAGGGTTGGCCTGTTCACGTGTGGCTCTGACCATGTCCCTCACTTTCTGTCTCTTAAGAACCCGCCACGCAGCAAGCCTCCCTGGACACGGAGAAGCCCGTGGGCATCGCCGCCTCCTTGTCTGACGTCCCGAAGGCCACGGAGCCTGGGAGGCTGGAACAGCTCCGGCCTCCGGAGCGCGTCCAGGAGCCAGCCCCCACCAGCGGTGAGAAGGCCAGGCCGAGTGAGGCCCCCGGGGGCAAGAAGAGCCTGAGCATGCTCCACTACGTCCGGGGCCCCGCGCCCAAGGACATCCCCGTGCCACTGTCGCACAGCATCAATGGAAAGAGCAAGCCGTGGGAGCCCTTTGTGGCGGAAGAGTTTGCGCACCAGTTCCACGAGTCCGTCCTGCAGTCTACCCAGAAGGCCCTGCAGAAGCACAAAGGTGAGGAGGCCGCTAGGACTTGGGGGCACGGCACCTGGTGTTAGGGGCAGGCTCTGCCTCCCAACAGAAGTTATTTCACTTCTGTAAAGCCTTTCATTTCAGTAATGACAGGTGAGGAGCCTTTTCAGCAAAAATAGGATCCAGGCCTTTCACAGTGCAAGGATTTCCCAGCCTGCCCACAGACTCACCCGGGAACACCACTGTCCCTTGATAACCCGACCCAGTGGCACGTGGTGGGACATTCTGGGTGCTCTGGCCAGTGCCTGAGCCCCCAGAGTCGAGATGCCCCTTGGACATCTCAGTGTGGGAGTCACTACAGTTCAGAGTACAGGGGTTAGTACGTTTCATTCCCACTGAATCAAAGGTTGAAAATGACTAGAAAAGAATGTTTAGTAATCAACAGCTGAGAGAAAATAATGTGATTATTATTTTCGCATTATTTTTCAAAACAATTTAAAAAATTTCCCTTCTATAACCTGTGAAAAACTGAATTGACGAAGAAGCATTTTTAGATAAACAGGTCTGACGGTGTCCGTGTTCTTCAGGCAAAATAATGCTGTCAGCAGGGATGAAATGAAAAAGTGAAGGGTAGTGGTTTTTTGATGTGGATTTAAAAAAAAAAACTGTCCTCTGTTGGATGTTTGTTGTGAGTTCAGAGTCGTATTTTTTAAGAGAGGAAATGTTTTGGCTAGATTAAACCCCTCTGCTCCCTCTAAGGCACACCCACAGAGGCTTTTCAGCAGCTTAAGGACTTAAGTTTTCCTGCCTGATCTCAACCCTTCCTTGACTTTACACTTGACTGTTTTCTCGGGACTTGAGCATCATCCAGCCTCTGCCAGTTTGGGCCGTACGGGTCCATTGACTGCCCAAGGCTGCTGTCCACACGGGGAGGCGGGGCAGACCCAGTCTAGACAGGCCCAGCCCGTTCAGATTCTGGCTAGCACAGGGGCGTGCACGGGGACCGGAGCGCCTGTGTGTCCTGGGAGAGGGGACGGACGCTTTGGAGATCAGGGCGGCGCGGCTCATAGCCTAACCCAGCCGAGCGTGTCGGCACAGCGTGGGGACCTGCACCCAGCTCCGCCGCCATCCCGGAGCACTCTCCAGCCTTTCTGATGGAGCCGTCTCTGGTCTCCGAAGGGCCACAGGCCTCCCGCCGCTCCGTCATGTCTGCCGGGACCTGTTGACTGTGTCCCCGGGGGCCCTGTGACAGCCGTCTCCCCTCCTCAGGAAGCGCAGCCGTGCTGTCGGCGGAGCAGAACCACAAGGTGGACGCATCCGTCCACTACAACCTCCCCGAGTTGCAGTCCTCCAGCCGCCTGCCTCTATCCCAGCACAATGGGCAGCAGGAGCCCGCCGCCAGCAGGAAGGGCCCCCTGGCGCAGGAGATGGACCCCGACTCAGAGGAGGAGGACGACGGGGAGGACGAGGAGGAAGACCCCCCCAGGCGCAAGTGGCAGGGGATTGAGGCCGTTTTGGAAGCTTACCAGGAACATGTGGAAGGTATGGAGGGCTGGGGAGGCAGGCCAGGGCCCGGGAAGGGTGTGCCAGGAGGCTCAACAGGCTCATGATGGGTGTCGGTTTCCATCGCCAGGCTGGGAACTGCTTGAGTGACAAGGCCCCGGGCTCCTGGGCCACAAGTAGATACGAGCCTCAGAACCGCTCCTTGGGCTTCTGGGGTGCCCAGGCTAGCTTGCAACAGCCACTCCTCACGGACAGACGTCCTCCCTGGAGGAACCTAGGCGCCAAGCGCCTGTCCCACCCAGCGTGACAGTGCGGACCTGGGCCTGCTCGCCCTGCCGTGTCCTGTCGCACTTCTGAACGTTCTGTCCATCCTCACTCTATGGCTGTGTACACAGGTCCTAGAAAAGGCAGTGTTTCACCCAGCCGAGCCCAAGTCTCCCTCTCTGGCGTGCTTCGCGGGCTGCGCGCCTCAGGACGTGCCCACAGGCCTGGGCCTCCTGGAGCAGCACTTAGCGCAGGAGGTCGGCCCTCGTCGGCCTCCAGAACATCAGAACCCTGGCTGTCGCCACTTCCAAATTCTACTTACTACCGTATTGTAGAGAAGTTTTTATCATGGATATCATGATCATTTCAGATACTTTGAAATAAGCATCGTAAAACTAGCTAAGTATTCAATACAATCAAAAAGAATGCCCTCGTAGCCATAACAAGAGTATCAATGCCTGTTTTTTTTTATTGAAGTATATAGTTGATTTGTTAGTTCCAGATATACAGCAAAAGTAATCTTACACATATATCCACTCTTTTTAGATTCTTTTCCCATACAGGCCATTAGAATTTTGAGCAGAGTTCTCTGTGTTAATACCAATCTCCCAATTTATCCCCCATAATCATAAGACTGTTTTCTAGATCTCTGACTTTATTTCTGTGTTGTATATATTCCACATATAATATGTGGAATCATTTACTTGGGATGTTTGTCTTCCTCCAACTTACTTCATTCAATATGACCATCTGGAGGTTTATCCATGTTGCTGTGAGTGGTGTTTCCTTTTTTCCATGGCTGAGTAGTATTCCATTGTACATACATACCATGTCTTTATCCATGCCTCTGTTGATGGACATTTAGGTTGCTCTCATGTTTTGGCTGTTTAACAGTGCTACTCTGAACATAAGATTGCATGTATCTCTTCAAATTATGTTTTCTCCAGATATAGCCCCCAGCAGTTGGGATTGCTGGATCATATAGCAGGTCTCTCTTTAGTTTTTAAGGGAACCTCCATAGTCCTCTTCATAGTGGCTGCACCAATTTATATTCCCACCGACAGAGTTAGGAGGGTTCCTTTTCTCCACACCCTCTCCAGCATTTACTGTGGGTTTTTTGATGATGGCCATTCTGAATGGTTTGAGGTGGTGGTTTTGATTTGCACGTCTCTGATAATCAATTAGTGATGTTGAGCATCTTTTCAGCCATCTATATGTCTTAGTTTTTGGAAAAATATCTACTTATAGGTGTTCACCCAGATGGTGGCACGTGGTGGTCCAGTGGTTAAGAATCCACTTTCTAATAAAGAAAGTGTGGGTTCAATCCCTGGTCAGGGAACCCGAGATTCACTAAGAAAAATAAGGGGGGGAAAATTTTCCCCATTTTTTTATTAGGTTTTTTTTCACCCACTTTTTTGATTAGTTTTTTTTTTCTTTTAATGTTGAGCTACATGAGCTGTTTGTATATTTTGGAGATTAAATTCCTTATTGGTTGCATCTTTTATAAATACTTTCTTCTGTACTACAGGTTGTCTTTTTGTTTTATGGTTTCCTTTGCCATGCAAAAGCCTTTAATTTGGTCCCACCGTTTGTTTTTGTTTTCATTATTTTAGGAGGTGGATCAAAAAAGAGCTTGCTGCAATTTATGTCAAAGATTGTTCTGCCTGTGTTTTCCTCTAAGAGTTTTTATAACAACCAACCTTTACATTCAGGTCTTTAATCCATTTTGAATGTACCTTTGTGTATGGTGTTACAGAGTGTTCTGTTTCATTCTTTTTACATGTAGTTGTCTAGTTTTCTCAGCACCACTTATTGAAGAGACTGTTAAAACAGAGATTTATCCTTGAAGATTTGAAGCTCAGTATCTTTTGGAAAGGCAGAGGTTTTACCTCACTTGTTAAAAACTAAATTTCTAACAGCTTAAAAGTTTTTATGTCTAACCCTTTTATCTTTCTTCTTGAAAAATGCATCTTAAGGCTGTAAGTTATTATTATTTCCTAAGCTGCATCCCTTAAATTGCCTTTCAATGCTACGTCCTTGGTCTTTATTCTGCTGGGTTGGGTTAGTTCCGTGACATCGTCACCAGCACGATTGACAGGGCAGGGAGCCATGTGGTCCAAAGGAGAGAACGTGGCCAGCTGCTCGAGAGAGGAGGGCACGCGCCGGGCCTGGAGCCCTGCGTACAGAAGATGTCATCCTGGCTTGTCTTTTCAGAGCAAGATCTGGAGCGGCAGGTGCTGCAGGCGCAGTGCAGGCGGCTGGAGGCGCAGCACTACAGCCTCAGCCTCACAGCTGAGCAGCTCTCCCACAGCATGGCGGTAAGTCTCAGGAATAGAACTGGCTCCAGGGGGCTTTCTTGACCTCACAGTGGTTATTCTCATTCAGCCTTTCGAGTCTAGGTTCAAGAGCACCCATACAGACCAGTTTTGAAGGGAAGTTGTGCTCTTGAGAGATCCAGACAATCTTAGGGGGTAAATTCAGGAGTTACCTGAGGAGAGGGGAGTGTCCTGTTTGCAGAACATGGACCTGGAAGGGCAAGGGGCTGTGTGTATGCGCCTTTGGGGGCTGGTGTACCGCCCATGTCAGTCTCCCCCGTGATGTGCTCAGGAGAATGGAGGGAAGGAGGAGAGCTCTTGGGACAGGATGGACACCCCCACACACAGAGCTGTGACAGCGAGAACCCCGCTGGCTTCCTCCCACCCATGGGAGGGGGGTTGTCATGTGTTTGGGGCTTGAACGTCTTGGCAACTTCAGCCCAGACCTGAAGCAGCAAAAGCTGGACAGTGACAGGGCTGGAAGAATCCAAGATTCTGGGGCAGTTAGAGCACATCCCACACCCTTCCTTACTGTGTCCACTGCGGGTCTGACATGAGTCTCTTTCTCCAGGAGCTGAGGAGCCAGAAACAGAAGATTGTTTCAGAACGGGAGCGACTCCAGGCGGAACTGGATCACTTACGGAAGTGCCTTGCGTTGCCTGCAATGCATTGGCCTAGAGGTTACTACAAGGGTTACCCGAGGTGACGGTTTCCCTTGCACTAGGCCGAACCTATAGTATAGAAATATTATCTATTTTATTACCTTGAATATTTAATATTTTTCACTGGGAGGTTTGACGCTTAAAAAAAAGAGAATGTGCCATGCATGAAGCAAAGGATTCCAGGCTCCAGAAAAAAAGAAAGAACTCGCCTTGACTTCAATGCAGTTGACTCACCTTTGTAATTCAGCAAGCAACCCGTGTTAAGACACCCATAGTTTTTTCCTTTTTAAAGGCGGTTTTATCCTTTCCCACGTCATCATTTTTTAGTCTCAAGATGAAGGCTCCATTACCAACACTAAGATTTGACCACTTCCCAGCCCCCGGGTGTGTAAGGTGGAGCGGACTGCTGGGGTGCCGTGTTGTGTGTTGCCAGGTCCTTTGGCCTCAGGAACCCAGGCTGCTCTGGCCGTGGGGTGGCTGGTCTCGCTCCTCCCCAGGATTGAGACCTGCTCCAGCAGAAGGAAGGTGGGGTACATTCTAAGTAAAGGGCTTATTTGTTTCAGTTATTTTTCTGCAAAATTTTCCTCAAAGCAACAGGTCCTAGGAGCACACAAAGCAACAGAACTGAAGCCTCACCCGAAGGCTTTTCCCCGGAAAAGCTCTTACCTAAAGATAGAATGAATCGACAAACTGAAGGTACCTTTTTATTCCTTCGTGGGGGAAGATGTACAGAGCTCTATGTATACATTTATCCACACCCACCCGATTGTTACTGCGGTGGGGGTGTTTTCATACAAACGTAAATTTTGAGAGAAAAGTCAAAGGTGCTTCAGCCTTGTACTGTGTATATATATTAAAAAACAAAGTTTTGTATGTTTTTATTACTTTAATTATTGTTATAAAAAGCCTGCCATTTTTAATACGTGGTTTGGGGGATTTTTTTGTTGTTTGTTTTCCTGTTTGGGGGTTTTGTTTGTTTTTGTTTTGTTTTTCTGGGCAAAAAAAAAAAAACCTTGCTTTTAGTGTTTGTACTGCTGCTGGTCAGGACATTATTGAAGTGTTTTTAAAAATTAAAGAAGAAGAAAAGTAAAAAGAGCTTACCACTGGCGCCTACGCGAGCACTTCATTTTTGAGTTGCACCGGAGAGTGATGTAGAAAGCCATGGTTCCTCCTCCCCTCCCCGGGCCCTCCCCAGCTCCCCCCAGCCAGTGAGGCACTCCTGGTCTCCACCTTCACACCGTGAGAACCTTTGAGGAGGGAGCGGTTTCTGTGACTGGGTGCTGAGGTGTCTTACAGCAGTCTGAGCAGGAGCAGAGTAGAAACTCTAGGGGCTTGATTTAGATGCAGAGCTTTGTAGCAGCCTAAAGGCAGGGTGAACCACATGCGACAGAACCTCTCCTCGTGGACTCACTGTGATGAGCTCAGGAGCCGCTGGAAATGGGGATAATCGTATCAGGGCGAAGCGCAGGGCCGGGGGAGCCCACCCTCCTTGCCCCGGTTGCTACCGGTTCAGGCTGGGTTGCATCTAGATCAAGAAGGCAGTTCTTGCCCCAGTTGGCCTAAACCACAGGCCAAAGCAGCCAGTGGTTGGTGTGACTGGGTGGGGGGTGACGAGGGGACCCACACATCAGGCCATGTGCACCCCTCCGCCCCAGCCTGGGGACGGGCTGGCTGACCTTCGGGAAGGCCAGGCGCTGTGACCATGGCCACGCCCTCAGCCCAGACCTTAGCTGCGCAGAACAGCTTGCTGGCAGATGGCATTGTGTCACTTTATCTGTTCCCACGCAGTTTGCTTTGTACGCCTGCCAAGAATCTTCCAGTTATTAGCAAACTCAGACAAAAAGTGCCGCCAGTATTATCAGCAGTCAGGAAGCACTTTCCTCTCTATAGAAACGACTTGAGAACTGAGAGCCGTTCTGGGGGCCTCTTCCCCTGCAGAGACATGGAGAGCACCATGTGCCACAGGTGAGGACAGGTGTTTAGAGGGAGCCCCACTGCCAACAGTCAGGGCAAAACATCCCTGAATTTCTCTATTTAAAACCTGCTTGCTGTTTCTGAAGGCCTAAGGGTTACATCTTGGCACTTCCCCCAGTCATCCTCCTCCATCATAGAAAATATCTGGCTGCCTCTGCTCCCGGGCGCTGGTAAAGGGCCTTGGCTAGAAGCAGAGGGAAGACTAGACCTGATGACAAGATGGGAAAAGCACAGCCCCGGCCCGTCAGCACCTGGCGGGGGCTCCCTTGCCTGCTGTGTGGTGGCTGGGGCGGAGTTCGTGGACACCTGCCCAGGGGTGGCAGCTCTGCCCCTGAGCTAGTTTTAACAGCTCTCCCCTTCGGAGTGGCACCCCCCACCTACCTGTGAGAATCTCTGAATATTCTAGGGCTCAAGAAGAAATGTGACAATCAGAATATAAATACAGACCAGTAAGGCAGCATGAAGAAAGAAAAAGGTAACAGAGGGTCTTGTGAAAACAAAAGTGTACCTTTCTGAGACAGTATACCCAATCATGCCCCCCCCTCCCCCCCACTTAACAGTTTATAATCTGAAAACTCTTCTTCTAAAAGAACATAGTAGCATCAGTCTCTCTTCAGTTTGGGCTTAAAAGCTGAGACAAATGGAATCCCTGAAGCTTTTTGTTCAGCTATTTCACACTGAGTTTGAAAGACAAAGTTCAGAAATACAGCAAATTTGCTCTAGAACGGATTCTGGAACTTTTGTGTCAGTATTTTTGTGACCTGAAGAAGTTTTGCTAAACTTGGGTACCTGCCAAAGCGGAGTTGTGCGGCTCTGTGCATTGAATCAGATCAGTAGAAACAAACCAGAGCTATCCCCCCACGCTTGGCACTGCACGACCTGATCATTTGAAAATGAGCCTTTGTGTCATAGAAACAGGAAAACTGGCATAAGATATCATAATCTATTATCTCACATAAGTGACCAATAGTTTAGTCTATATTCTAAAGGAAATGCCAATTGGCAGCATGCAAAGTGCTAAAAAAGATTATACCCTCAGGGAAATTCAAAGAATATTAAAAGGAGCCCACACCTTCAGCAAACTAGCAAATAATAATAACAGGTAAACTAAGTCTGTGTGTGGGGTGGCGTTCCATCGATGCTGCCCCATCTCCAAATCTAAGTCACATACCCCGTTTCCCTCTGAGCCATGGTTTAAAAGTGTAGACAGTTCCAGAGACCCACCACCAGATGGGGATGGTTAGCACAGGAAGTTGCTCCTCTTACAGTGTAGATTAGCCACTTAGCAGCAGCCCCGTACTCTTCTAGTAAACAAGCTATTGGCGTCACTGCTTGCAGTAGCCTGTTCCCCACCTTCCGATCCAGTGCTGAACTAGACTCCTTAACTCTGCCCTGGGCCGAGGAGGACCACCAGCCCGTCGAGCCGCCCTGCTGTGCCTGTGCTAACTGCTAGGACAGTCCACCAGGACTCAGGGGGAGGAGGAACGGTGCCTCGGTCACTCTGGGGGCAGTTTAGATGCTGTGAAATTAAACCTGTTCTAAGTGTACTTGTTTGAATTAACTGTATTGTAATATTATTTGTTGAATGTAGTAATTAGGTATTTATGAACATATTGCTGTAATTTCTGACAACATCCAGAAAATAAAATCTTCCTAAATCATGTTAAGAGAAAAATTTTTATGTTCTAGTAAGGGGGAAAAATAAGAACTCAACAATTACTACAGTTTTACAAGTACAGTGTGAAGACAGATCCAACTGGACTTCAGCCCGGTTTTAGGAGAAGGGGTGAAACTAGAGACCAAGTCTTCTGGGTCCTAGTCCCTCTGTGTGTGGCCTTCAGTGTTCAGACACAAGCTGCTGTCTAGAGGGACATCGGGGGCCCACGGGGCTGGAGAAGCAGCGCTCGGGCATAAACACTGCAGGTGAAAACACCCGCAGGTACTCCTCAGGCCCGGTGGGTCATGTGATCACACACACAGCCCCTTCCAAAACCCTGGAGATGGCAGGTGAGACTGTCGGGAAGCGGCTGGTGACTGAACCTGCTCCTTACAGGACTGGGCAGTCATCACCCCCCACCCGCGACTTGAGGAGAGGTATTCTGTAAGGAGCCGAGCGGTGCTACAGCTGAAGAGGCTCCTCCTAGGGAAAAACAGGACTCTGCCCTGAGCCACGGCTGCCTCAAGCATGCTGTCCCCTCAGTCCACCAAGAACCACCACACAGGCCCCATTTTCCCCTGGCGTCTTGGCATAAGCTTCACTTACACATGGAATTCATTTTCCCTACTTTCTTGCTGATAAACCTTTTAGATCTTGCCCAGAAGCAGCCAAGCGAATAAGAGACACCCACGACTGTGGGCTGGAAGTGCACACTGTCTGCTAAACCTCCCAGTCTGGTCTGGTCTGTCACTAGCCACTGAGCCTGCTCCCTTCAGGCGGGAGTGATGCAGGGAAAAAACCCAAAGAGAACTGGGTGATTCCACCTTTATTGTGTATCGGGGCTTAATGAGAAACACGGGTCACCGTCACTAGCCGAGTGCTCATCTGCTGTCCCGCACTGTGTGAACAGTCTCTGAGGAAGACTCTGAATGTAGCCCAAGAGAAAGGCCATGGCCACATCACCATCCTGCCATATCTTATCTTAAAAGCAACACTTGCCATCACTGAACACTCACCTGCACACGACCGTCCCATGCAGGAGACTGGGGCTCTACTGGGGAACGCGCTCATTCTGCCAGTGCTTTTTCTTCCCCCGTAAAAGGCAGCTGGCTCCCAGACACAGATGAGGAATTACAGAATGCCTCGACTGAGCATAAGCCTGTTGCTTTCCAACCAGGTTATAAACCCATTCCTTCCTTCACTGCACTTTTTTTTGTAGATTCACAAGTGGTCTAGAAGTCCAGAAACGTGAGTATCTCTGCCATGTCCTGAACACTCACGCTGCCTGGTGCGCCTCCTGCCAGCAGATGCGGGCCTGGACAAAGCAGTCCTTGCCTATAAGTCCTGAGACTGGGCGCTGTCCGAAGGCTGCAGGTTTGTGCGGAGTTTATACATGTGGTTGAGAGCTTGTGTGAGGAAAGCCCCACTGGTGTTGATCTCCATCAGGGTCAAGTTATCCAGCTAAACGTGAGGGAAAATAGCTGGTTTAGTTTTTTATTTCATGAAAGGCTAAATCTACTGGATAAAAATAAAGAAGCAATGAGCAATGATTTTCTAAAAGCCAGCTAGGGCACGGCTCCTGAGCAGACACAGGCCTCCCTGCCCGTCATGCGCACCTTGGCGTGTGCCTCCTGCTGCCTCACGAAGCTGTCGGCAGACACCCGGAACTTGGCTATGCGAGTGTCCCAAACGTCCTTGATCAGGGTCCGGATCTCGTCTGCTTTCGGGATGTTGTCCGAAGCACTAAAGGAAGAAAAGGTGAGATAAATTGCACAGGGAAGCATGCAGTAAATTAAGCCCACATCCAGGGAAAAATGGCTTCTTCCTAAACTGCTTAGATTTAGACAGAAATGCACAAGCTGTTCGAGGCTCAGTCTGTTTCACTTCTCAGTTTTAAAATGTAAGGATTTCTAGCAGTCAACCTGGGTGCCAGAAAAATTCAGCCAGGATGCTCACTGAGTCGGCTATGCTCATATTAGCTGTCCTGGGCAGCCTGCAGTACAAGCACTTGTTTATTCACTGAATAAATTGAGGTATCGGAGCAGCAGCTCTGAGCTGGTCCTCCTCTGTCTTGGGATAACTGGGTGCTCTGTGCTGTGGTCTGTACAATTTCCACCTAGAATGCATCTCTTTCAAAGGCTGGCTCAGAGGTCATGACCTCTAATGCTAACACCCCAGGGCTACAGCCCACCAGGGAAAGCAAACCAAGGCTGTATGCCAGGCACAGTCCTTGGCACTACACAGCACTTCTATCCTCACAAAAGCCCGTGAAGGTCAGAGACTGTCCTGCTCTACAGAGACAACAAAGATACATTTGCAAAAGTTACAAAGTGAAAAGCAAATCAGCATAAGTAGCACACCCATACACAGCAAATTTGGGGTAAAAGTCTGGCCTGGAGTCTGCGCAGGGCACTGACAGCCTTCCTGTGACACATTCTTAAACTAACCTTAACTTCTGAAGGAAGAGACAAGCTAAGACAAAAGCAGAGGCCAACATCCTTCACCAGGAGTCCTGGGATGCACTCCAGGGACACAGGCTGGATAAGCCTCCACAGGCTACAGTGAGCTCACGAGTGGAGACCAAGAGTCAGTGGTATAAAACTGATGTAGGAGATTTTATTTAAGACCCAAACATCTGGATCTTGCGGTCTGAACAGCAGGGAACAAAGGCCTCCAGCTCCTTGTGAACTGCACTGCAGAACAAGGGCCCCTTCGCTGAATGAGTAACTGTAAGGAATTATGGAACAGGGGTTTTGATAGGACTGTGTACACGATACCCTGAACTTCAAAACCTAAAGATGTGCAGACCTCCCCTCTGCTTCTGTATTCTCCTTTCTGAAGCCACTCCCCTCCAAGGCAGCCCTCCGGGTCCCCCGAATGACACCCTGTCCCACCCATGCCTGAACACCCTCCTGGGGACGTGGCTTCCGCTCCCCTGCCCTCACCAGGCACGTGGGTCCCAGCAGCCCCACTCCGCAGCCCTGTCTCTCACCTGCTGTTCTGTCCTGCCGACCCCCTCTCCCTTGACAGGTGTCCCTCCATCCTCTGAGCCATGGAGCCCTCCCCAGGCAGTGCCAGGGTGAGGGCTGCATCAGGCTGTTCTGACAGATTATCACACCACACCGGTACCAGGGCCCCGTCTCTGCCCCCAAAGAACCGGAACTCGGGCCTACAGGACCAATTCCTCTGCCTAGTGGAACACTTAGCAGGTTGTACAAGGAGAGTGTTGTGAACTGCACAACTGCTGCCTTGGGTCAACTCAAGGACAAGCCCACAGGACCAAGTCTCCACTTGAATCTGCAGCGCTGTGCACGGGGCCCAGCCAATTAAAAGGTGCTCAGGGTTTGAAAAGGTTGGCATTGTGCAGACTACATTCTAAGTTGCTCCTAAGCAACGCTGTCTATACCTGCCTGCTTTCTCTGCTGATTCATTCATTTATTCACAAACACGTGAGCAACAAACATGTGAGCACCAGGCACTACTGGGGCACAAGACGGTCCCTGCCCGTGAGAACGGGGGCAGGGGCGGAGGAGCGGCCCAGGCAGACGCGGTGAGAGGAGAGCGGCTGACAAGTGCTATGGAAGGTGCGGAGCTGCCCTGGAGATGGGGATGAGGACAGGCGTGCTTACCGGGGGGAGGGCCTGTGCTAAACCCAGGAGGGAGGCGGGGATGGGGACTCCTGGGCAGAGGGCACGCGCACGTGCTCTGAGGACCTGGACCTTCTACTTACGTGCAGAAGTGAGAGGCTAGCGTGACCCCAGGCCCAGGAGAGAGAGGAAGGCCTGCAGAGCTGTGAGAGGGAGAAGAGGGAGCCAGGCTATGCGGTGTGAAGGCCACGAGCAGGACTGCAAGCCTGGAGAGGCTCCAGAGGGCAGGGGAGGCCCGCGGCAGCCTGCTCTAGAGAAGCACCCTCCGGCCGAGGGAGGAGCCGACAGGGAGCCCGCCCCAGGGGCCTTTCATCCAGCTCAGGGTCACAGGCAGACGGGAGCCTGGCCCTTCCCTGTGCAGGAGACGGAAGCGCTCAGACACCCAGGCCCCAAGGAGAAAAGGGGTGCAGCCTGACTGACACGGTAACTGCCGTGAAGGAAAAGCCGCTGTTAGGGAGGGAGGGACTGATACGGAGTCCAGTGACAAGAGACGGCTAGGGCGCAGAGCAGAAAGAACAGGGGTTGACCAGGAGAGGGAAGGACAGAGGAAAAGAAAGGAGGGAGCGGGAGAGTCAGAGCCCAGCCAGCGTGTGCTCGCCCGACGCCTCCAGGCTGAGGGCTGTGGCAGAGCGGGGTCCAGACCCGCCGGCTTCCCTGGGAACGAGCGGGGAGCACCGACGCGGACGGGCACGGGCTGTGGGCTCCGCTGAGCTACTCACTGATTCAACAGCAGTTTGGTGAGCTCCATGTAATAAGGGCTGGGCATAGGCGTAAAAGTTTCTTCCTTTCGTTCATGATCTCGAAACTTCTCCAACTTTTCTGAAATTTAGAAGTGAAAACACTTTACTATGACCATAAGCAAAATATATATTTAAAACCGTCCAAATTTACCAAGTGGGTTTCCCAGGTGGCGCAGTGGTAAAGAACACGCCTGCCCAAGTATTTATGTTATCTCATCAATCAACTAACAGAAAAAAACCCACCACTTTTTGAAATATCATTTTTTATCACTAACTAGGTATTACAGGGCTGATTTCCTCAAACCTCTAAGCTTCTCTTAGAGAAGGTGGTAGATTTGGTTATAACTGTTGCTGTGCCTGCAGAATACATGACTGAGAACAGTCAGAGCCAGGTCTTTTCTCTGGGAGAGTGAAGTATTCTACCTCTGATGCAAGTGGAGGTGATAGTAACTAGTGACTGGCGAAGTTTCCTTCTTCATATCAAACCTTGCTTAGGACTTCTCTGCTGGCACAGTGGAGAAGAATACACCTGCCAATGCAGGGGACGTGGGTTTGATCCCTGGTCCCGGAAGATTCCACGTGCCCTGGAGCTAAGCTTAGAGCCTGTGCTCTGCAACAAGAGAAGCCAGCACAGTGAGAAGCCCGTGCACCGCCACCAAGAGCAGGCCCTGCTGGCTGCAACCAGAGGGGAAGCCTGCACAGCAAGGAAGATTCTGCACAACCAAAGATATTAAAACACACATACATACACTGCTCAGAAGAGAGCAAGACAACCTACAACTAAGAGGGGCTTCAAAGCCCCAAATCTGGAACCAAAGTGCTGAGTCCGATTCCATCCAGCAGGAACGAGCCGCACCGGTCCTCCCCTCTGTCCTTCCTCCTGGCTGAGAAACCCCGGTCCTGAACCAGGCTGCCGCTGTGGCAAAGGCGTGCACACACCACTCTGCCCTGGGGCCTCCTCTGAAATGACTGCCCAACCATCCCCAGGGCCCCCGGGGCCCACCCCCTGCCATCCTTAACGCCCCCATCCCTGTTCGGCCACGCACTTCCCGCCCACCCTCTCCAGCCTTCTACCCGACGCCTGGCGGGGCACCCGCACACTCCCGCATCCCAAGGGGCGTGCTGGACCCCCTCTCACTGAACAGAACACGGCGTGGCAGCTGTCCTCACTGCTGAGTAAGCCCTGTCTCACTCACCAGTCCGTCAACCTCCATGCAGCACCTTTCGTCTTAAAAAGAAAACTCTCCTCTGACGCCCCATGGTCAACGCCCCGCTCCCAGTCTAGCCCAGGGTGGCCCCAGTCTCAGGAAACGGCACCCCAGCTCCGCCAGCAACCCTCACTTCTCTCTGATCCCACAGCCTGTCCCGCAGCAAATCCTCCCCATCCTGTCTTCAAAACACACCTGGACCCCAACCACATCTGCCTACCCCCATCGACCAGTGGTCGGGCCACCCTGAGCTCCTGTTGGTGACCCCGCCCACTCTCTCCACACTCGTCTTCCCCACACCACGGACAGACTCTCCCTTTCCACATCTACCTCGGAAGATAAAACACCTCTGTCTGATCTCTGCAGCAGAGACCAACGCCCGGGGTGGAACAGCAGCAGCTTGCACATCTCTGCCGGGTCACAAGAGCGGCCCGACCACGCTGCGGGCTACTCCTCAGAGTGAGCAGTCAGTCCTGTGAGCTGGCAGTTCCAGGGCTCTAGGCGTTTGTTTACCCAAGAGAAATAAAAACAAATACCCACAAAAAGACTCAGACACGACTGTCCACAAGCAGCCTTGACCACAACAGCCTAAAATGGGGAACAACCCAAACATCCACCAACAGAAGAGTGCGGACAAGCTGTGGAATACTCACACAGTGAATGAAACATTATTCAGGATAAAAGAATAAGGTAACAACACGTGCAACAACAGGCGCAATGAATCACAAGAACATAACGCTGAATTAAAGCAGTCAGAGCTAGGACTTCGCTGGTGGCCCGGTGGCGAAGATGCCACACTCCCAGTGCCGGGGTCCTGGGTTAGATTCCACATGCCAGAACAAAAGCGTTCACACACCACGGCTGAGACCCAGTGCAGCCAAATAAATACTGGAAAAAAGCGAGAGCAAAAACTGACATGCTAGATAATTCCATTTGTATGCCAGCCAAGAACAGGCGGAACTAATCCACGGTGGCAGAAGCAGCAGCGGGCCCCTCGTGGACTGAGGAGTGATGTCCACTCCTGTCCCCACAGGATGGCCCAGGTCCGTAAGAAGGCCCAGAGTAACTCTCCCCACACCTTCCCTCTGACTCGGGGCTCCCACCAGACAGGTTTGTGCCCCACATCACCTGGGACTAGAATAGGCCAGAAAGGGAAGAAGTGCCAATAGAACCAGGACCTTGGTGTGTAGGGAGCCAGCGGGGGGGGGAGTCCCTGCTTAAAAAAAAAAAAACCCTCAAAGCCTAACGAACTGGAGTTTCTTGTCATGTTTCTGGACCACCAGCTGCACACACCCCTTTGGGATACAGACTAAAGACAAAATGCTCACGCAGTCTTTCTTAACCTGTATTTGAGTCACACCTGGCTCCAAATGTCCAAGCTTCTAGGAGGCAGGGGCGCCTGGGTGATTCTCAAAGGGAAGGGGACAAACTCGTTCAGAGGCTTTTCAAATTCTATACTCCCCCAATCCCAGCCCTAAATAAATTTGAGAGTCTTCTCTATAATGAGCCATTCATATCTCCAAGGTGAGGAAAAGCCTGCAAAGATTTAGGATAAAGACAGACCGCCTCTGTGACCCAGTATTTTCCTGTTTTGTTTTTTCCAGCACCTTTATACTGAGGCATAATCAACATACCATGCAATTCACCCATTCAATGGTTTTTAATACAGCCACAGAGTTGTGCACCCATCACTTCAATCAACTTTACAATATCTTCACCACCCCAAAAGGAACCCCATAATCTTTCTATAACCCACTCAAACCTCCATCCCTAGGCAACCACTAATTTCCCTTGTCTTTATGGGCCTGCCTGCTCAGGACAACTCATCATAGAAACTGAATAACATGATATTCGGTCTTTGTGTCTGCCCTCACCCCCAGCACTTATTGTAACATTTTAAAGATTCATCTGTGTTTGTACCCTGTCACAACCTCATACCTTGAGATGGTCAAAACAATACTGCCTTGTATGGATGATGCCTTATTTTCACACATTCTCTATAATGTAATGCATTCTTTGTAATGACTCAGCTCCTCATGCTGGTCTATACTTTTTTTTTTTAATTAGAATATATGTTCCCTTAAATTCGTATAACATCTTCAGTTTTAAAGCAAGTACAGCTGATAGTGGAGACAAGACGGCAGAGGGAGGGACGTGAGCTCACCTCTTATGAAGACACCAGAATCACAACTAAGTGCTGAACAACCATCGACAAAAAAAACGCTGGGACCTACCAAAAAAGGTATCCTACATCCAAAGACAAAGTAGAAGCCACAATGAGATGGGAGGTGGGCCACAACTGACATGAAATCTATTACCACATCTGTCAGGTGGGCAACCCACAAACTGGAAAGTAATTATATCCCAGAGGTTCTTCCACAGGAGTGAAAATTCTCAGGAGTCACAGGAGTCACACTCCCCTGACTGGGGGTCTGGCAACTGGAGGAGCAGCCCCCAGAGCGTCTGGTTTTGCAGGCAAGCAGGAGCTGACTGCAGGAGCTCCACAGTACAGGGGGAAACAGAGACCTCACAAAAACTTGGACCAGACTTACCTGCTGGTGCTGGAGGCTGGGGCCCTCATCACACTCAAAAGTTGTTGCATGGCAAAGGAAACCATGAAGAAAAAGAAAGGCCACGGATGGGAGAAAATATCTGCAAATGAAATGACCTACAAAGGCTTTTATCTGCAAAATTTACAAACAATCCATAACACTCAACAATAAGAAGACAATCCAATCAAAATGGGCAGAGTGCTTCCCCAGTGGCTTGGTGGTAAAAAATCCACCTGCCAATGCAGGAAACGCAGGACTGATACCTGGTCTGGGAAGAACATACACGCCTCGAAGCAACCCAGGCTGTGCACAACTACTGAGCCCGTGCTCTGAGCCTGGGAACCGCAATGACTGATCCCAAGTGCTGCAACGACTGACACCGCACACTCCAGAGCCCGAGCTCCGCAATAAGAAGTCACTGCGAGGGGGGCCCCACCACTGGGGAGGAGCCCCGGCCACCTGCAAGTACAGAAAAGCCCGAGCAGCAGCGAAGACCCAGCACAGCCGAAATAAATAAGCTCTTTTTAAAAAATGGGCAGAAGATCTAAACAGGTATTTCTCCAAAACGAAACAGAGGGCAAAAAGCACACAAAAAGATGCTCAACTCTTTAATTATTGTTGCTGCTGTTCAGTGGCTCAGTCATGTCCGACTCTGCAAACCCATGGACCAAAGAAATGCAAGTCAAACCTTCAATGAGATATCACCTCACACCAGTCAGAGTAGCCATCACCAAAAAGCCTACAAACAATAAATGCAGGAGAGGATGTGAAGAAGAGGAGACCCTCCTACACTGCTGATGGGAATGTAAATTAGTGCAGCCACTATGAACGGAGAACAGCATGGAGGTTCCTTAAAAAGCTAAAACTAGAACTAGCATATGATCCAGGAGTCCCAGTCCTGGTAGTGTATCTGAAGAAAACCATGGTTCCAAAGGATACATGCACCCCAATGTTCACTGCAGCACTGCTTACAGTACCCAAGACATGGAAGCAACCCAAATGTGCATCAACAGATGAATGGATAAAGAAGACATGGTGCATACACACAACAAAATATTACACAACCATTAAAAATAATGGCATTTGCAGCAACATGGATGAACCTGGAGGTTATCACACCAAATAAACTACACCAGACAGAGAAACACGTATATGGCTTATATGTGAAGTATAAAACAAAACAATACAAATGAATTTATTTACAAAATTGAAACAGACTCACAAAAGACAATCGTTAGCAAAAAGGAACAGAGGACAGGAGGGATAAATTGGGAGTGGGAAAATCACACACACACAACTATATATAAAATAAATAACCA